AGATAAATGAAATTTGATATTTTATATATAATTAGTGGTAACTAATTAAGAATGTCTTCTCCTAAAAAGTAACTAAAAATTCCTAGGAGTTTAAGAGGCATAAAAATATAATAATTGATAGTAATATATCTAAATTAAAATTAATTATTATTTTATAAATTAACAAAATATTAGCAACATCATTAAAATGTTACAAAAATACTACTTTGCTAACATTTGAAAAATGTTACCTAATTATATAAAAATGTTATTAAAAGTCTTTAGCAACATGGACTATATACAACATTTGATAATATGTTGCTAAAACAAATTAGTAACATTTATACATAATTAAGTAACATTTTTCAAATGTTGCTAAAAGTTATTTGTGTTTTAGTGGGAGTTGTTACTGGTAAAGCATGTTGAGACTTGTGTATTTGTATCGTGAAAAGATCAAATGAATTAAAGATAAATTGTATTTTATGGATGGAATTTCTTGGTTGGGATACAAGGTCGAGATGTAGAGATTATTCTGTAGTACATGCATAGGAATATTTACAAGAGGCTAAAGTTATGTTCACTCTATTATGATTGCAGTAAATTTGGCTACAATGAACAATTAGATGCATATATTCTTACTCAATAATAATCACTTTATTGCTAATTTTTTGAATTTTGAGGACTAGTAGTGGACTTGATAAATTGATTTTGGAAGGGGAGGAGTAGACTTTTGATAGGTTGGACGTGACAATAATATCTTTTTGTTTGATTATATAGTTGGGAGGTGAATTGGTGGCTATTCACTATTTATCTTACTTTATCATAATTAGTAGGTGTTTTAATATATTACCACAACAACTCAGAATTTTACTATTGTAAACGGGATTTTGGTACCTTTTCTACCAATTTAATATTACTCTTTCTTTGTTGATCCAAAAAAAAAAATGATCACATTAATACTTGCGGTATGTTATTTATTTTTATTGACCTAATTGTTAGGGTATATATGTTATATATTTTTGTTGAGAGGTTATATTGTGAATAATATCTTATTGTATATTAGGTATTAACACATATATAATTCTACAATGATAAATATTTTTCACTTTTGAGTCTAAATTCTCATGTTTTTCCTTTTATTATCATCGATTAAAAGGTCTTTCTTCAATGAAGTATACATGTGTTTTATAAATTTTTATTTATTTTATTATTCTAACGATGTAAGACTTTATTTATATCTATTTTGTACAAAATCTCTCTCTCATATATATATATATATATATATATATATATAAAGAGAGAGACGGGATCCATTTACTCAAAGAGTAAGTATACATAATCTTGCTCCACTCAATAACTTGAGTTCTACATCAAATTTTAACAATCCTACTGTTAAATTAAAATTTTTTAATATATAGATCAA